CGGCCGATTAATGTCCGCCAGCGAGTGTCTAGAGGTGCCGGTGTGACAAAATACCATGGATACCTAACAACTTCGACATCTGGCCGATTTGTCACGGGACGTTTTCCCGCGCGATATTTCAAGCAAGCCCGAGAATGACGGCAGCAGGCCACGAGCTCGGCGTGCTGTGAATAATTTCTGAATACCGCTAACGAGAGTCTAGTGGTAGATTCGGTCAAAGCCGCGCGCACTCTCGAGATACCGCGTCCAATCGCGCGCATCATGCCGCAGAGATGGAAAACACTTCTGCGCCTGTGAAAAAATCAAACGGCTGCAATACCCGTCGCGAATGTACGTAGGTACATATCTCTCATTTCGTGACAAACCTGGGAATGATTTATTTCGCGTCCCCCTCGCCGATGAGAATCTTTATACGCGTCTGATTCTCAGATAATTTGTCGGCGACGCATTTACAGGTACGCATTTTCTTTCACTTAGGAATCGGCCGAGTGAAAGTCCAGCCGCACTCTTTACAAAAAGTTTCCGCGATTGTTCTACTCGACCTCCATCACAATTATAAAAGTCGATCAAAGTGCGACGCGTTCTTTTAGACTTTCCGATATTCGGAAATTCTACCTAAATATTTTTTGCGTGAATTCTAGTGCTTGATCTTGTAATGTATTATATTATCGCGTCCAAGATTATTTAAAACAAGAATAAAACCGTCGATATTCTCGTAAAAGCGGCATTGAAACGTAATACACTAGTATATAGAGACTACCAGATTCTATCTGAAATTTAATCTCGTATCTCTCTCTTTCTCTCTCAGAATTTCCGCGATAAATCGACTGCTCACCGCCTACCGCCCACTCGCGCGAGTCCAGCATATTTAATTACAGAAAATCGCGCGGCCTTCGAGCGTCTACGGACTTTACACTCGCAAGTGCAAAACCGTAAAATAAAGGATCTTTCTGAGCGAGAAACATATAATACGAACGAAAGCATCGAACGAATATCAGATGAATCGATAATAATCGTCGATAAACTTCTTGCCGATTTAATGCCGACGACAAGCAGCAACGATTCGTCTCGTCGATGACGAGATACCCTGCTGTCTAAATACACTTAATGGATGACAACTATAAACTACCGCAACAGCACATAACATGGAACCACGGAACGAATATCGTTCCGCACGATTAAACGCGCTCCTCCCTCTCCCCTCGAAGCTCTCGATCTCTCTAGGACCCTTGGCTGGTCGTTATCGTCACGTTCCGGTATCTGGATGTACCCTGTGGATTCACCCTGCGCGATCGTTGATGCCAGGATCTCGCTTGTACGGTGATTTTATGAAAGTATATTCTATAAATCTTTAAAAGGTATCATCTATATAAACCAAGAAAAATGGTTAAGCGTACTAATATCTCTTCACTAAATGCATCTATTTTATTTATCATTGTAGTATTGTTCCTGAAATCATACATTATTTAGCTATTGCGTGTGTTTAAAAAATATAGGCGATTATATTTTGTCGTTTTACTTATACCAAAAATACGAGACAGCAGCATCTACCCTATAGGAGCTATGTATACAGAATGTTCCAAAAAATCATTAAATATTTATATGGTAGATAAGACACACTATACTGAGTAAAAAAACCTTAATAAACATAGGTCGAAAGCTCAACCGTTTCGGAGACATAAACATTTTTATATGTTAGTATCACGATTGACGTACTGGCTTTTATGTGTCCCATGCGATGTTTACCTCAGTGTTTATAAACAGCATTCTGAATGGCCTCATTCAATTTCCATACATATTTCATAACAGAAAATTTCACCGGCAATCAGTCAGTTGTCATCAACCGGCGATTGCGGATCTGTAAGAAGAAGATGCCAAGCATGTATGGAAATGGAAGGAGAACATGTCGAACAACTTCTATAAATATTGAGAAAAACATTTAGACAAATTATCTTCTTCTCACGTCGCATGCGACAAGGAACAAGTAAGTCAATCATGATTCTAAAAATGTTATATCTTGTGATACAAAAATGTTTATATCTCAGAAACGGTTGAGCTTTCGACCTAAGATTTTTTTATTCAGTATGGTGTATCCTATACACCATATAAATATTGAATGGTTTTTTTGAACATCCTGTATATGTATAATTTTCGCAGAATGGCAATTTGCTACCATTTTTATTACAATTTTTCGATCATATCGTAAAGATACTAGCATAATTTCTCACTTAAATTACGATGACTCGACCAAGGAAGGCGATTCATAGTCGCGCTTCAGACGAAACGGTGGCTAAACGTAAAGTTCGTTGCAATTGGTCTGCCTTTTGGCAAGGTCCCCCTTTTATCCCGCAGGACAAAACCACAAGAGCCACAAATTTAACCACGGACGCGCGGCGTTGAACCGGCGACACATCGTTCGATAAATCTGCTTGGCGCGCTAACGTTGAGAGTTGAATGAATAGCGTTACGGGCCGGCAAGCATACTGAATGCGGGACGAGACCGGCTCGTTGACACGGTAGTCAAAATATTGGGGGAGTGCCGAGTCGAATCCGCATCGTCGCCGTTTTCCTTTTTATTTCCTCGCTAAATTATCGTGCATGCGAGCTACGACGGTGAACAGCGTTTACGAGCTTGAGCACCCTCGGGAGAATTCAGATTCGTGGAATCGACATATCTCATCTGCTACAAAAGCTCGCAATACTATGGACGTTTGTCGTTTGATTACTCTAACGGAACTGATACATCATGAATCTCGTATAAATCTCATCTGATAAAGGTACCATCCTTCGCCTAGATACTGTTTTAAAAAATTGCAAGAGGCAACATGTACATTTGTATGTATAATCTATTTTATATATGTACTCATATTGAAAATCTGATTTTACAAATCTATGCAATATAAATTAAAATATTGATTGTAACACTTTTTAGTATCATCGCGATATTAATCAATAACTTTGAATTGTAAACGATTGTATATCATATGTGTATAACAAAAAAATCTTATATATTATTGAATTTTAATTAGGATTTTTTAATTTGGGTTTTTTTTAAAGAGACTCTTAATATATTTAATATTGTATGGATTGTTTTGAGTATCGAGAATCGTGCAATGCGTTTAATGAACAATGCGGTGCATTAGCTCCGATGCAAATCTAATTCAAATCTGGCAGAAAATCGTGTCGTGGTTGGCTAATAGTCGGTGGTATGACGCGCCGCGAATACGTGAGACAATGTAGGGAGAGAGAGGTGAAACTTTCTCGATGCTGCTTTGTTCCGTGATGCGTAGATTAGCATTTAAATTGCCTGAGTTATATCGCCGAGCCGACAAACTTTAAGTAGGATTCTTTATCGACAAATTAACTTGCCGACTTTACAATGCGTACCGGTCAAGTTAAGAATTCCATGCGACAAAATAATACCGCTTCATCCTCACATATTTTGCAACATCGAAGTATGCTTTTTCTATCAAATTTTCGAAAATGTTAATTGTAATCATGCTGCACCAATTAATTAAACGTCGATTGTACCGCATTTGCTGTTTTATAGCGGACGCGTCTGTATTTTTGGTCGGGTGAGCCGCCGAATGACGTGCCAAAAATAATAAAATGTACGAGGATATCCTTATCAGAGTGACACGAAACAGCGTGCGGTTTCTAACACACTGGGACGGTTTCACTGCACTGTAAATTCGCGAATGCACTCGCTTGCGATTCTCGAACAAGGAGCGAACGAATTCCAACGAGAGGAAGCTGTAGCGGAATGCGAGAGTGCGAGAAGATGACAAAAAAGAGAGAAAGAAAGGAGGGAAAAAAGGAGATGCTCGTTATCTCTCTCGTGAGAGGAGGACGACTTGTCCCGTCTCTTTATGCAAGGATTGTAAAAAAGGCGCGGCGATTTATAAGACGCACCACCATAGAAATTGGGCCAGCTTACGACAGACCGAGTAGGAAACACGTTGTTGGGAAGTGAAGGCGAAAGAAAAGAGGACTCGACAAGAAGCAGCGACTTCTTAACGGAACACGCTTGTATGCGAGAGGATCGTCAAGACGATCTCATTCTCGGTCGTCGCTATATTTTTGACACAAGATTCTAGCTGTATATTGGTCTTGAGATCGTATCGGCATCGTTTAAAGAGCAGAGCAGTGATGCCGCAATTATATCTTACGAGAGCGCGTATCTGACATCTCTCTGATACAGCAAATTCCATACCAAAGATGGTAATATTAGCAACATCATGTTAGTAGAAAGCCTATAATTCGGTAAATCTCGAAAAATATCCAAAAACTCACCAAAGATGTTTATCGTCTTCTACTATGGAAGAAGTGAGCCAAGATAAATATATAGGATTAATACAAAGTATATATAATACAAAGCATTTAAAGTATCATGTATTAAGGCAAATACTCTCATTTATTATTTAATATCGGTAAATTGGATTTATTTACAGTGTAAAATTAGTCAATAAATAAATAAATTTGTCAACACAATGCACGTACAGTATTGTATTTTTGGAATGAAAAATTCATTTATTTGTGACACGGTTCGAGTGCATTTATTGTGATTCTATTTCTGTAATAATATAGGGGAAACGCAGTATGATAGTATCTTGCACATTTTTATACACTTCTATAATACATGCCTTATTTACTTGCTTAAGCTATGTTGCTCATGTAAAGATCTATGCATTTTGTTGTTAAGATCAACACATTTTACAAACAAATCACATTTTCTCGAAAAACATATTAAACATTCTTATCCGATTTAGAGATGATAAACGATTTTAATTTTTGTAAAGTCCTGCAATTTGTTCTATTCATCTATTAGAAGCGGCTTTAACCTAACTAAAATATAGAGGATATTTTCCTTTGTCTTCCTTGTTTCGTCAAAAATACAAGACAAAGAAATTTGCTATAGTAATTTAATTATAATGAAAATCTGTCAAATGTAATTTATTATTTCTATTGTATTTATATTTCTTTTATTTGTTTTGTTTCAGGCAAAAGGTAAATTACTGGAAGAAGCTTTAACGGAAATTGGGCAGGCTTGTGAGATCAATGCATTTTTAAATAATAAGAAAGTAAGTTTTAAAGAAAACAGAATTTTTGTACACCATAAATAGCATAAGTCAATCCTTTACTACCGAAACGGAACAAAAAAGAAACTAGACCAGTCAGCTCTTATATTTTCCTCGTTTTCTCATTGTCCTATAGACTTAGTTGTGTAGTTAATCACGATCCAGCCGCAATGTCCGGTCAACGCAACATCGTCACCGGTCTCTCCCGTTTCACTTGGAGAACCTTTGTCACTCGCGGATGCGTCTTTGCCGCATAACGCGACCACAGCCGCTCGTAAAATCGGTATGCATAATCCGTAGGGTTGCACGAGACCCAAGACAAGACAATATTCGCAAAAATATTGTATTGATCTTGAAAATTTTAATCTTGTCTTGTTCTTGAGAGGATTTTTGTATCAAAGATCTTGTCTTGTCTTGTCTTGTCTTGTCTTGATTTTTATTAACAGTTTTTATTTAACACTAAATTGTTTGTCAGCTTGATAAAAAACAGAAAATAGTAAGTATATCTGATTTCTTCTGTTATCCGAAGCGCCGAGCACGATTTTCACTTGTTCTTTACTGCATATGCTCACGTCTCGATTGTGCAGACGCAGTGACGCAGTTTATACACAGAAGAACAGCGTACACATCGCTGTTGCGTATAAAACAGCTCTTTTACAATTAGTTCAGACGTGTTCGCGCAGTTTGTATTAAAAAAATGAAACGTAGTAAATCTAGTACAGAGTCCATAAAAAAGACTAAACCAAGTTCTTCTGCTTAACATGCAAACATTTCCGAAAGTGATAATGAAAGTTCGGAAGTAAGTGCAGTTAAACAATGCACATATAAAACTTATTTTAAGTATGAAACAAAAAACAATGAAAAAATCGGTGTATGATATTAAGGATGTTAATTTTATAATAAAAGGTATTATAATTAACATTATAATAAAAAAATATTAAAAATATTAATATTTATTTAGCTATATACTTATGTAAAATTTTATATTAATTACTGTATTAATTTCTGTTTTTAAATTTATAAATGTTTTTATTTACTAACAATAAGTAAAATTGTTTGTTTTTCTCGCCTATTTCCACATTAATTAAAATCTCAGTTCAGAGATCGGGAACAATTAGGTAACTTTTTTTAAAAACCAAGACTTCTTGACAAGATCAAGAATCTTGATAATTTGTTTTGGTATTGTCTTGATAATTAATTTAAAATCTTGTCTTGATATTGTCTTGAAATTCAAAACAACAAATCCTAATAATCCGTACAGTCGGAAGAGAGGAGTGTTAAAGTTACATCTAAGATAATAAGATCAGGATTCTTCGAAAGGTCAGTCAATAGAGAATTAGCAAAATAAAGGGTAGAATAAAGTCACATCAGGAAATCACATTAGCATTTAGATTTAGGGTATGCAATCATGCATAATGCGTAATCTACTGAAATTTTTAGAGGATAATTCAAGTCACGATGCAATTGTAAACACCTTTTCGAAAAAAATTGTTGACACAAATCAGCTGATCATTCGCTTGTGCATGTCAATTTTCGGCGTGGTGATTTTGATATCAAGAATTACTCGATTCTTTACTCAGTAATAGTCTTCTTTATCTCTGGTTATGTCCCAATTATAACTTTTCGTTATCGCTATCGTTAAAAGACTTCCGTTTTGAATCATCACGATGGCATATATATTACTGATTATTAGTTTCATTATTTGAGAAACTTCTGAAATTCCAACTGAATCTGAGATTCCTTTTAAAAGGAATTGCCAGTAGATGTAAAGAAAGAACAGACATTTAACGTTTTAAAGGCAAACTAAACAATTTGGGCCAAATTATTTCGATACATAAAAGAAGAAATATTCTTGTTTGGGCGCTTTTTAAGAGAATTTAAGAAAAGAGTTAAATTTGTTTCGAATTGTCACCCAATGATATGATTCTAGAAATATATTTTATATTCTATGAATTCTATTTTCTAACGCTTTAAATAGAAAAAACGCTTTAACATAAAATCTTAAAATTTTTTGCCGCTTCTTGAACATTTATCTTGCTTAGAAGAAGGTCGGCTTTTTGCGAAAAAGCGACCTTCTTATTATTTACATCTTACTTTTGGTCGTTTAGGCACCATGTTAAAGATTTAACGGAACGGGTTAATTTCCATAGGGGTCTTTGTTTACTTTCGGCTACTGTTAGAAAAGAATATATAAAAGAATGTCATACATTTGACAATTACTTTCTTCCTGTTAAGAAAATAACCGACTATGAATACAAATTGCTCCAAAGTTGTCTACCTGTTGACTAACAATAAGATGAATTGAACATCATTAATCTTTAGCACAAAAGACTTACAGTTATTTTTACTATATTCATCCATAGATCCAATACATCAATTTATGGTCATCTAGATTAATTAACCGTCAAACATTGAGCATTTTCATTTTCTAAAGCAGATAAAATATTTGAAATTCATAAGATGCAGCTCTTGATGTCATTAAATATTTATAAAAATAGAGGACAAGTCTGCAATTAATTTAATTTTATAATTACCGAATATTTTGATAACAGAATACGATATAATAAAAATACGATATTAAATAAAAAAATATAAAATATCAAAACTAAACACGTTACAAAAACTTACTCTTTTGATATGGATTTTTGTGTACATATTTTTAACTTAATAATTCAGGAGAGAAGAGATGCTACAATCAATTTTAATAAGTATGATACAGAAAATTAATGCATTTGATTAATACAGTATTAATATACAACAATGTTGTTTGTTTGAATTTAAAAAATATGTATAAAATAAGAGAAAAACAGCAGAATTAATATTCCAGTTAAGTATATGAAATTTCTATTGTTACGTTAAATATCATTGAAGGAAATTATAATCGAAATTTTATAAAAATTTATTATTCTACATGTTTGCTCGATATTTCTATGTTATAAAATAAATTTGGGAGTATATATAACACACAATAAAAGTCTCGAATTTTTAAAAACAATTTTTGTGAAAAGTGATATGTTTGATAATTACATGAAATTATAGAAAGATTAACAGATCGACATTCAATGCATTAGCGATCTGAGGATTTAAATTTAATTTGAATTTAGATAAAAATTCATATTTAAGAGATTAATTAATTAAATTAATAATAATGTATATATTTATATTATTTATCACAATTGTGTACTTTTTTATTATTTAGCAAATAGTTATAACAATTTTTCAAAATTGATGATAGTATTCTCCACCACAAGAAAGACGTCAATGTAAATAAACTCGTGCATTATCTTCAATTATATATGACGTAGTATTTCATTACATTAAAAAGATACTAATTATAAATTAATTTCTTGCTTAATCCGTCTCGCACTAGCTTCGTTTTGTCGAGTACGCCTATTTCAACAAGGACAATTGCTTGTTGATCGTGTCGCATCTTTACCTTCACATTCCTAACGTTAACAATTTTATAGCGCGATTTTCTGCAGCGTTACTTTCTCCGGCACGTACGACAATTAAACGATAGTATAGAATTTCACTCTAATGAATAATAATCAATTCGAAGGAGAGCCGCATGGCGTTTCTCATTAGGCATGTCACTTTTCAGTCCACAATCACGCTTACAAATTGATTTCGCTTTCCTTAAGTCGGTTAAATAATGAGAGCGCGATCTCTATTTCTGAACAAGATCAAGTTAATTCTGTTTTTGAACTATATTTTTATATATAATATTAATTAATTTTTTAATCTTGATTTAATCGAGATAAATCTGCTTTTCTTTATATCTGTTATACAATAAAAAATGTTATGAGCAAAAATTGTACTCAAAAAATGGCTAGAGTCTACGGTATGATATAAAAAGAAAAGATTCGATCGGTTGCAGAATTTAATTGACTTTTACATCATCGTTGTATTATATTTGACGCACGAATCTGAAACTTTGCAAAACCGCTGTCGAGAGATTGATGATAGACACAGGTTGCTTGCGACGCCATATGGTGGTAGATACATTGCGCTTAATTTTTTCGTTCCGCGTATTCCGCGGATTCCGTAATTGGTGCGGCTGCTTTTTCGTTTGCGAGTGATATAAGGATAAAGTAGGTTTGGAAATATCGTGAGTCTTCATTCGCGGTGTCAGTTAGGTACCGTCATTCATTATTAATGAAACGTTTGCGGGTAATTTCACGTTGCGGAAAAACTAGCCGTTGTACGTGCAACCGGCCGAAGAAAATTGCCCGATATTTATATGACAATAATCATACGAGGACAGGTGCGTGAGATAAATCTTGGCGAACTGAGAGAGATCTAGAGAGCGTGGTGTGGAATCGCGTCGATCTCGTTGGCGGCGACTAATCTCGCGACAAACGCCTCGGTGGTAATGACCGGCGGCCCTGATCTTCAACTTCGTCGAGTGGTACCGTATATCTTCGGCGCTAAGTAGGCATTAATACGACGTCGCTCGCGTGTCACTTCCAGCAACGCTGAAAGAGACGAATGGCCGTCGGTGCCCACGTACGTTACTTTTCTCTCGTGTGTGATCGTTACGATACTCTACCTATACGTTGCAGTATGCGACACTGGCTACACCGCTTTCCGACAGGCTTTTAACTCAAAACTGCCGATTCCCGCCGTGTTGATTCAAAGCGCCCGAAGATAGATGACGGTTGATGGACAATCTATTAAGATCGATACGCTGTCGACCGTTTCGCTTATTCGTCACTCATGTCGCCGATATGTTTGCCTCGCGGATCTTGTCTTATGTATCAGCCGATCGATTTCCGAATGATCGAGCGACAACAAGGATATTAAAGACTAATCTAAGTCGCTTGCCTTAGCTACGGGAAATATAATCTTGCGATTGTGAGTAATAATCTGTGATCGTTAGAGAGAGAAAACTTTAGAGATTCATCGTAAAATAAATATAAATTTATTATC